AGAGGCTGTTCCGGCTGATTCTGGGTAAGGGTCTTGGCTTCTTGAGGCCCGAGTCGTGGTGGAGAGTGGAGCGTGGACACATGAAAGAGAGCGGGAAGGACAGGGAAGAGAGACAGAGATAGATGCCAGAATTTAAGAAAATCAGAGACCGAGAGAAGGAATAGGGACAAACGGACCCACAGACAAAGCGATTCTGTCCCATGGCCGGCCTCTCTAAAGGATCACTGTATTTCGTGAAGAGACACTTGGGACTCAGGGCATGACGGGATACACCGCACTGCTCGGCCCCAGGATGGATCTCTGACAGGGCCCCGTCATGCCCTGGACTCTGCTGGCCTCCGAGTCCTCCTGCTATGAAGGTGGGGGATGGTGGGGAATCCCCTCAGGGGAGGCCTTGGGCAGTAGAGCTCCAGCCCTGGAGTCCTATCCCTGGGTCCTGGGGCTTCCCCCCTCCCCACCCCCTCCGTCTTCCTTCCACAGCCCCGACTTGCTGTGGTCTGGACACCCTTCAGCTTGAGCCTTTAGGGAGCGTCATTAGAGACTGGAAATCAGCTTTGTGGAAAATCTCGCAAATTCCCAGCAGCCTCTGGCCCCATTTTGCATGGGCAGCCTTCAGCCTTTTCTCAGATGCTGGACCCCAGGTCTCCGTTCCTTGCCCCTTAGTGTGGTCTAGGACCCACTGAGCTGCCTTCTCTTGTCCCTTGAGGCTGCCTGGGTCAGAGTGGGTGTGGGGGCTCCAGGTGAACCTGACCTCTCCTCTCTCCCAGCTGAACTGCCAAGAGGCTCCTGGGCAGGTTCTGATGCAACCCAACCTGCTCTGCAGGCCTCCCTGGGCTCCTCCTTTGCCCTTTGCCCTGGGGGACCCCCTCCTCAGCCATGAGCAAGGTCGGGAGTCCTGCTAGGAGCTGTGAGCAATCTCACTAACATAACAAGGGATGGGGCAGGAGCAGCGAGTCCCTTTCTGTCCCCACAGCGCACCCGCCCCAGGACAGAGGGGCCTTGGCAGCCCTGTAGCCTGGTTATCTGATTTGGGGGCTGATGGGGTTTCTAATGGAAAACAATATGGTAATTTCAGAATGTTCCTGATTAGATGAAAATGATATTGCATCAAAGTTACTTCCTTAATTTATTCAGAAAATAACAAGAGAGAATTCTCTCCTAAGATCCTTAATTAAACCAGAGCTTCCACCACACAGGCAAAGCAGTCTTTGAGCCCCAGGTGTGGGGAATGAGTGCAGCCCCCTGGCCTAGGCACCTAGCAGCTGCCCTGGGGCTGTAGGGTCCGGGCAAGTTTTCACCCAGACAGGCTGCCATACTGCCTGGAGGAAGCGTCAGCAGCAAAGGGCAGGGAATGGGGCTCCTTCCTCTGCAGGGAGCAGTGGAACTGCGTCCCACAGCCATCCTAGCTCTTCCCTCCTCTGCCTTCTCCAGCTTCATGCCGATGAGTCTGCAGTGTCTGGGCAGGCAGGGGCAGCAGGGCAGGGAGCCAGGGTATCTTCAAGACAAAGGGCAGCGAGGTGAACACGGAGGCTCTGGCAGGTCCTGTTCCGGTCTGCATGGGATCAGCTGGTGGAGGTCGGCACACCCGAACCTTCACAGAGGAGGCTGTGAGGAGAAGCACGGCTGGGAGAAACAGCAAAGGAAGATGAAGCCATGGGGGAAGGAAGCAGAGGCCACTCTTAGGCCTGAGGGGCAAGGGAGGGAGTGAGAGTGGGAGAGACGAGGGGCCACAGGTCGGAGCGTCCCCGTGGCGTATTCACAGCCAGAGCCAGAAATCAGTGAGTCATTCCCAGACTGTCTTTTCCTGCCCTGGGTCTCTTACAGGAGCTGAGCTTTAGCTGACCTGGACCAGAAGCCAGAGGGCAGGAGAACCCCAGGGATGCACTTTGCAGGGGTGAGGCTCCCGGGGACACAGAGGTTGGGAAATGGCAAGCGTAGTCCCCGAGGTGGTGGTCTGCAGCCTTTTATTTGTCTCATGCTTCTGAGCTTCTCTGGCTCATTCTCGTCTGTGTTCCTTGTCACTCCTCACGTCAGCTCTCAGCACACGCGGAAGGCTCAGAGAGGTTGAAGCCATACAGCAGGGAGGTGGTGGATTTGAATTCAGCTCTGACCTGCCTCTCTCCAAATCCCCCCTTACCCTCCCTGAAATAGAGACTCAAATGCATAAAAGTGCTTGCCTGAGCTGGGTGTGACAAAGGTCCCCGGTGTGCAAGGGCCTGCCCAGGAGCTTCTGCGAGGCCACGAGGGAAGCTCACGAATGATGACCCGGAGGGCCTGGGCATGGTGGAGCAGACTCAGGAGACCCCAAGGAAATGAAGTGTCCACTTGCCATGGGACTTCCTGCCTCCGGGCTCTGCTGTGGACGGCAGGCTGGGACCTGCGGGTGCCAGAGCTGGCAAGGAGAAGGCACTGCCACAGAATCGCTCTGGAAGGAGCTGTGTCTTGGGGACCACCTGCATTTGCCCACATGCCTCATGGGTACACTGCTCCAGTCTCCTCCCTGCCAGGCACCAGCACCCCACTCCCTAGCAGTGTTCGGGTCATGGGGCAGGGCCAGCTGAGGAGATGGGGTGCCTAATCCTCTGGACAGTAGGGGGTCCTGGGTGGGTTCCTGGGGGAGTTCCTGACTTCAAATTCCTATGTTGCAAAGGGGTGGAGAGTTAGAGACCATGGTCCTGAAACTGGCTGAAGAGGACCACAGAATGCAAGAAAGTTCTGAGGGTGGGGAGTCTGGCGTGGGAGCACATGGGTGGTTGGGTGCACATGTGTGTGCACACCTGAATATGCGAATCTGGGCACCACATGTGAGGATGTGGTGCATGAGAGAGAGGGAGAGAGTGAGGAAAACGAAGAGAGAAACAATTGTTAGCGGCCAGCCAGTGGCATGGAGGTTAAAGCACTGGATCCCACATGGCCAACTACACGGTTTGAGTCTTGGACCTGGTGGCCTGAAAGTCATGCCGGTTGCATGCATGAGTGTGTCTACAATCCTGAGAAGAGAATGGAAGAGAGAGGACTGCAGCGTTGCCATCCCCCTGGGGGGTGATTTCTCACTTTCCTTCCCTCTCTCTTCTCTCTCTCTTTTTCTTTTCTCTTTCTTGCCTCTTTCGTTGTCTCTCTGCCTCTCCTCTCTCTCTTTCTTTCTCTCTAGTAAGTGCACATGCCCTATAGCAAAACTAAAAAAGAAAAACGGAGAGAGCTGTTAGGGGCATCAGGGTCAAAGGAAGTGGGGCTGCAAGGTGAAGATGATGACATTCTCTTCCATTCTCCTCTCGGGATCATAGACATGCTCACGTCAGTTAGCACTGACATCTAGGTAACATCACATGGCAAGCCTGTTCCCCGATACATATGAACTATTTTAATTGTCAAAACCAGTCAGGAGGAGGGACTGTTATCACTCCCTTTTACAGACGGGGGAACTGAGGCACAGAGCAGTTCGATGTCGAGCCTAGGTACTGGAGCAGGGCTTTGGACCCAGGCCCAGATCCTAACCGTCGAGAGCCTCTGCCTCTTGGACTGGGCGGGTGTGGCCCTGTCTCGGTTTCACACATGCGTCTGGATCAGGATGCCGAGGCTATCCATCTCACGCTCTTCATTCCCAGCAGGACTCTCGGGGGGGTGGGTATGAAGTTGATCCGTCCGCGTCCACGTTTCAGGCAGGTGGCTCTGAGCGGAAGCAGGGAGGCGTCCAGGGAGCTTGTTTGGAAAGGCTTTGTCCTGGTGGCTGGTGCATGGGAGGGGAAGGGAGAGGCGGAGGGGCACTGGAGGCCTGCCAGGCTGAGGGTTGAGGCCTCCATCCTCTGACACAGGTGGTGGGGGCTCTCCGTGAGGGTTCACGTGTGGTCATCCTAGGAGGGTCACTGGGGCCGCAGCGTGGATTGCAGGGGGAGGACCCGGAGGCAGGGGGCCGGCAAGCAGAGTGGAAAGGTGGCGGTGAGCAGATGCGGTGTGAGTCACCAGGGGAAGCTGCAGTGTTTGATGGGAGACTGGACTGCTGGGGTGAGGGGTGGGGAGGCATCACTGAGAAAGATGCCTAGGTTTTTGGGGACTGGGTGTGTTTGTGGGAGTCATGGGAAGAGGAGCAGGGGTCCCGTCAGAGAAGGCAGGGTCACAGCTACTTAAAGGAGCCCCTGACAGGTGACCAGGGCATTTTCCCCCAGGCCAGGGCACTGCTTGGCTCTGGAGAGACTTGACATGGCCCTGGACTCTTCCCTGACAGATGCAGAGGCTGGGGAGGCAGGAGGTCAGAGGCGTGGCCCAAGGACAGGCCAGGAAGTGGAGTGGGGGTTGTGGCACTGGTTTCCCTCTAAACAGTTTTCCCTTTCTGTAGGTTTTTCCATTTCCGAAAGGCTTAAATAGGGCGCTGCATGAGAAATAGAGGCCCACATCGTGTATTCTTACCTCTCAAACACCAGAGGCCCTGTGGTTCAGTTGTTAGAACGCTCATTCTGTGGTTAGATGGGGCTCAAATTCCAGTGTTACTATATTTTAAAGAATTATATTATTCACCTTTATTTATTTATTTATTCATTTAAATTTGATCAGAGAGAGGCAGAGTGAAGGGGTTTGAGAAAGCAAGCCACCAGGTCCTGCACTTGAACTGTGGTTAACTATGTGCAAGTCCAGTACCCTTAACTACCACGCCACCTGCTGGCCCTTGTAACTGTATCTTGTAGCTGTGTGTTCTTGGGCAAATCTCTCTGTCTCTCTGAACCTTAGTTCCCTCGTCTCATTTAGGGATCGCTCAAGCATGCACCTCGTAGATGTGTCGCGAAGTTTAAAGCTACACACGGTAGCTCTAGGTGTGATTTTCAGATCTGTGAGGGAGGGTGGAGAGCAGGGCTGCTCTGGTGGGCCTCTCTGCCCCTCTGTCTACCCTCTTCTCAGGCAGGGGACAGGATCACTCTTAAGGGACTGGGGCTAGGGGAGAAGGGTCTGTCAGACGAGGCGAAGGCCTTTCAGGTGAGACAGGGGTGCTGATGGCACCCTGGCCCTTTCCTTGTTCCCCAGGCCCTGCCTCTCTCCTGCAGTTCTGGAACAAGACAGCACCGCACACCCATACCCCTGCCTAGGTGTGGGCTTCCCCAGAGAGGGTCTGCCCCTGGGCAGGGCCCGCTCAACCCACAATCTCCCTCCTCCGGCAGCCCCTCAGCTCGTGCTGCCTCTGTGCCCGCAGGCCCCTTTTGAAGCCAGGGCCAGGGCTCCTGGGGTTCTCAGATGCCCAGCGGGGAGTCTGAGACTAGGGGGGCCCCAAGTGTTGCTGCAGACCCCTGGTCTTCTTGGGGAGGAGTGAGGCCACCAAGGCCGTCTGTGTCCCTCCTCCTGCTCTGGAGAGCCCAGCAGCCTGACCCCTGCGCGGAACCCTCACCCCAACCCCAGCTCTGAGTTTGCTGGCAGCCGCCGATGGCTTTGGTATAGTTTCTGTGGTTTAATAAGCTACAAAAGCGACATTATTTTAAGCCAATCTGGATATAGCACAAAAACTCTCACCCCGTCTGTTCTGTGAAACTCAGATACCCTGACGAGAACACAGCTCACAACCAACTAATACAATATTCTGCTGGGCGCGCTGTCAGCGGGCCCCACGCGGGAGCGGCTCCCCGGAGGCCGGCCCAGCGCGCACCGCAGGCCGGGGAGGGAGTCGGGCGCCGACCGCGCAGGAGGCAGGCGGCCGGGTGGGAGTCTTGCCCCTGCTGTTGTCCTCTCCCCAGGGGCTGGGGCCGGCCAAGCACAGCCCCTCTCTGCTCCCCACACCCTGCATGGGGACATGGGAAGAGAGAAGAGGAGAGAGGAGGAGAGGAGAGGAGAGGAGAGGAGAGAAGAGAAGAGAAAAAGGGAGAGAGCAAGCAGCCAGGTCCGGGACTCAAACCACTGTTGGCCATGTGGGAGATCAGCACCCTTAACCACCACGCTATTGGCCGGCCCCTGGTTTCC